ATGGCGGAGTACCTCGCCTAGGCCCAGTGGCGCTGCCCCCGGCGAGGCGGCAATGCTACCTGCTGGAGGGCGCTGGTGCGGCGCGTGCGGCGCGGCGCGCTGGCGCTGGGGCTCCCAGGCCACCGTCCCCATCCTCGGCGTCATCGTGCACGCCTGGGAAAGGCCTTTGGTTGAAGCCAAGGCCGTCGTGGGGGGCGCCAGCTGCCCTGCTGGGCGCGTGCTCCTACGTGCGCTGGGGCGGCAGCTGGACGTGCAGGTGGAGGAGTCGGTGATGCGGGCGGAGGCCGAGGCCTTCGTCCCGCGCCGGAGCGGCAGTGGCGTCGGCGGCGCCGCGGCATGCCGCCCGGCGGCGGCTACGGAGTCGGGAGGCTGGCAGGTGCCGAGGCGCGTGGCTCGTGCGCGGCCCCCGCAGCCTCGCCTGGAGTGCAAGAGGCGCCCCGGCCCTTTCTCGGCCCTGGAGGAGTGCGGGGACGACGACGGCGACGACCCCGAGGATAAGGAGCTGGAGGGTGTCGACAAGGGCCTCGCCGGTGAGGTGGTCGACAACCCCGAGGAGCAGGGCCTCGGGGAGCAGCAGGCGCGGGAGCAGGGCTTCGAGGAGTTCAGCTACGGCGGCAACGCGGCCTGCCTGGGGCGCAGCCTCGAGGAGCGGCAGCAGGACTTCGAGGAGTCCTGCAACACGGAGGTTGACCCTCCCGAGGATCTCGACAAGGGCTTCGACGGCGAGGTGGTCGGGAACTTCGAGGAGGACCCCGAGGAGCAGGGCCTCGGGGATATGGAGCGGGAGCAGGGCTTCGAGGAGTTCTGCAAAGGTGTGAAGGAGGCCTGCCAGGGGCTCAGCCTTGAGGAGCAGCAGCAGGGCTTCGAGGAGTTCTGCCGCAGCATGGAGGCGGAGTTCTACGAGGGCGGCATCAAGGCGCAGGACTTCGCGGAGTTCTGCAACTGTGTGCGGAAGCGCTTCGAGGAGCGTTACTGCTTTCAGGGGGTCTGGGGGAAGATCGAGGCCGAAACCGAGCTGCAGCGGCTGCTGGATAAGCTCGGGGGCATCGTCTGGGAGAAGGAGCACCCCGTTGAGGAAGAGGACCAGCGCTTCGAGGAGCAGCAGGTCGACGATGAGGTTGAGGACGTCGCGGAGGGCCTCGAGGAGCCGAGCTTCGAGGAGCTGCGGGCCCTGGAGGGCCAGGTTCGCGGCGGCGTCGATCGTGAGCAGGACTTCGAGAGGTTCTGACACGGGCTGCGGGCGGTCTTCGAGGAGGCCGCTATCGGGAAGCAGGACTTCGCGGACTTCTGCTTCGTCGCGCGGGCTGCCTTCGACGAGAAAGGTTTCGGAGCGCTGGCCAAAGCCGAGTGCCTGCAGCTGCTCGCGGAGCTCGGTGCTAGGCTCCTGCCTGCCGCCGCCCCTGAGGCCAGCTCGGCCGCGGGTAGCGGCCCGAGCGATCCTGATTCTGAGGCAGGCCCTGCAGGCTAGGTGTTTAGGGGCCTCCTCTGTAGGCGCGAGGCGCTTGGCGAGGCCGTGCAGTGGCTCGGGCGAGGGATCGGGGCCCCTGCAGGCTCGGTGAGGCCCCAACTAAGAGGGTTGGGGGCCCTTTTGGCCTCTCTGGGGCCCCGATCGTTCAGCTGGACTGGACGGTCCTTCAGGTAGGGGGTTGGGTCGGGTCGGCCAACCCCCTGCCTGCCGTGCAGCGAGCCGGCACTACGACAACTACTACTACTACTACTACTGCTACTACTACTACTACTACTACTACTACTACTACTACTACTACTACTACTACTACTACTACTACTACTACTACTACTACTTCCTACGTACTACTACTTACTACTATTACTACTACTACTACTACGACTACTACTACTACTACTACTACTACTACTAATAATACTACTGCTACTAATTATTGCTACTACTACTACTACTACTACTACTACTACCACTACTACTACTACTACTACTACTACTCTCTACTACTACTGCTACTACTAACTACTACTACTACTACTACTGCACTACTTACGACTACTACTACTAGACATGCTACTGCTACGTACTACTACTACTACGACTACTACTACTCTACTACTACTACTGCTGCTGCTACTGCTGCGCTACTCTACTACTGTTTACTACTACTGCTGCTGGCTGCTGTACTGCCTGCTGCTGCTGCTACTACTACTACTACTCTCACTACTACTACCACACCAACTAGCTACTACTACTGCTACTACTACTAACTGACTACCACTACTACTACACTACTACTGCCGACTACGACGACTACTACTAATACTACTACTACTACTACTACGATTCTACTCTACCACTGCTACTACGAACGGCTACTACTACTAGCTACTACGACGAACTACTACTACTACTACTACTACTACTACTATTCTAATCATACTACTACGACTACGACTATTACGACTACCGCGACTACTACTATTACTTCTACTGCTACTACTACTACTACTACTACTACTACTACTATCAGTACTAGTACTACTACTACTACTACTACTACTACTACTACTACTACTACTACTACTACTACTACTATACTACTACTACACTAACTACGACTACTACTACATTACTACCACTACTACTACTACTACTACTACTACTACTACTACTACTACTACTACTACTACTACTACTACTACTACTACTACTACTACTAGTAGTACTAGTACTAGCACTAGCACTAGTACGCATTACTCACGCGACTTCGTGCCCATCCCACCCCATCCAGGGAGGCGCTGCCAGAGCGGTGGCGGTCGGAACCGTCTATTATTTCAAAAGTTTCGTGCCCCCCCGTTCACCCCCCCCCCCCCTCTCCCTCCCCGACCGACCGACTGCGCGTTCCCCCGCCCCTTTCGCCCCGTGGCCCCCCGTTTGCTTATTCCGACCGACCGACCGCGCCCCCCCCTCCTCCCGCCCCACTGCCTCCCTTCCCCCCGTGCCCCTTCTCTGCTTCTTCCGATCGATCGGCCGCGCTCCCTTTTCTCCTTTGCCTTGTGGCCCCCGCGTGCAATTCTGACCGGCCAGCCGCGCTCCCCCCCCCCCCCGGCCCGACCGCGCCGTCTGCCCCCCCCCTTATCTTCCGCGCCCCCCCGACCGCGTCCATCTCCCATTGTCCGCATCCGCAATTGCATGATCCGTGGAACGCGTGCCTGTTCGTCGCGCGGTTTCAAGCCCCTTCCGCCCCTCCAGGGTGGCCTCGCCGCAGCGCGGGCGACATCGGAACCGCATCATTTACGCGTTTTCGCGCCCCCGGCCCTCCAGGGCGGCCCCGCCAGGGCGAGGGCGGCAGCGGAACCGCATTGTTTACACCGCTCCGCCCCCCCCGACCCGCCAGGGAAGGTTCCGCCAGAGCGAGGGCGGCATCATGATCACACGATTTGCGCGTTTTCGCTACCTTCCCGCCTTTTCCATGGCGGCCCCGCCAGAGCGAGGGCGGCGACGGTGTCCGAATCGCGCAATATCATCAGCACTGCATTAGTTCGACCGACCGACCGTGCATGGGACGTGCGCTGGACTGGGGTGCGTGCTGGGGTGCGTGCTGGGGCGCGCGCTGGGACGTGCGCTGCCTTCGCGTGCTGGGATGTTCGCATGGTTGTGTGCTGCTTCCCTGCGCCGGGATACATGCTGGGACGCGCGTTGCCTTCGCGTGCTGGGATGCGCGCTGGGGCGTGGCCCAGGTGCACTGGGGCCTCTGGGCCAAGATGTGCGTTGAGATGCGCGCCGCCCCCGTGTGCTGGGATGCGTGCCGGGATGCGCGGTGGGCGCGCCGCCGGGGCCCGCCGCGCCCCCCGTCCACCCCCGCTTTCCGAGCGACCGACCTCGCGACCCCCGCCCTCTCCGCCCCGCGGCCCCCGTCCACCGACCGACCGCGCCCCCCCCCCCTCCTCTGCCCGACCGTGCCCGCCCGCCCCCCTGCCCCGCCCCACCCCTCCGCCCCGCGGCCCCCGTCTGCTCATTCGGACCGACCGTTCCCCCCCCCCTCCCCCTGCCCGACCGCGCCCCCCCGCCCCCTGCCCCCGTTCCCCCCGTGGCTTGCCCGTCTGCATATCCGACCGACCGCGCCGCCCCTCGACCGCCCGCGCTCTCCGCCCCGTGCCCCCCCGTCTGCTTATTCCGATCGACCCGCCGCGCTGCCCCCCCCCGTCCACGCCCTCGCCATTTCCGACTGACCAACTGTGCGCCCCCCCGCCCTCGCCGCCCCGTGGCCGGGCGGGTCGCCGTCCATCGGGGGCATGGCCTTCCTCATCTTCAGGGTCGGAGCACTCGTCGTCCTCATCATAGTCATCGTCATCTCCGCCACCATCGCCTGGAAGGCCGGAGCCTGGATGCCGGGGCTGGCGCTGCGCTTTCCTCGGGGGGGTCGGTCATCCCTCGTGTCTCTTTCCTTGAAGATGCTGGACAAGCCCTCCAGTCCCGGCGGCGCGCGCCCCGGGGCTGAAGTATCGAGGCGAGCTGCGCTCGCTCAGCGTGGGCCTTGATATCGTTTCGCAATTGAACCTCGGCCTCAGCCTTCCTCTCATTATCCTGGGCCTGCTTTCGCGCCGTTGCAGCAGCCTCGGCGCGCTGGAGCGCGTTTCTTTCTGTTCGGCGATGACGGGCGAGGGGGGGGGATTAATTGTCTGGTCTCAGCGCTAGGCTCTCCCTGGCCCCAGAAATGCGGGGGCCCATCTTCTCCTGCCCCTGCGCCTGCCTCTGTTGCCCCCCCCTTCTGCCCCCCTCTGGGGCTCTAGCTTTTCTGGGCCAAGCTGGCGGCCGGCTTCAGGTGGCTCAGAAGCCAGGGCATCCCGGAGGCCCACTCTGGGAGCCCGGAAGATCCCGGGGTGACCCGGGAGCGCCCGACCCAGATCATGCGTTACCCAAAAATTTTGGTAACGAACGGGAACGACCGATCCCGACCGTTACCGCTTTTTTTTCGGTAACGAACGGCAGCGAACGGTAACGGACAAACGCAGATTTCGGTAACGAACGG